CATGAACTTAGGAAAATTTAAAACAATTGAAAGTTACTTGTAGTGAACACATCTTCTATCTCCAAGAAGCATCTGGGGCGGAGGTTCGTTGCTTTAGGAGTCGACCCTGTTATCGATCCGGAGTGGACCGTTCTACGGGGGGGTACTTTGCGGATTCGGTGGAGATGGTCCGACTTCTGAAATCCGAGCGTTGTGCTCAGACGAGGAGGAGGAGTAGCCCAAACCACTTCCTAGAGGGAGAGACATGCAACACTTCAAGCAATGCAGCTAATCAAGAATCATTCGAAACAGTCTGTCATTCAATAAGACTGAGAAAGTATGGAGACAGGTATGTGTGCCGAATTTTAAGTCATTCGTAGGTTGAATGGATGATTTTGGCAACGCTTCTCATCAAGTAAAAACTAAGGCAGTTCGACTACCTTATCGGCTGCATCAATGTTATTTTTGGTAGCCAACTTTTTGTTGGCAGTTGTTTATTTGTTTTGTGGTATTCGGTCTGAGGCGGCCGGATTGTTTTTTTATCTTGTATTATTGGATGTATGAGATGATTGTATTTTTTCAGTTATCTTTTCATACAGGGAATATTTATTTGTGTCGACTACGGTCGATTCCTTTTGATATAATTATATGTATGGTTGTTATAACTTTCTTTTGATTGTATGTTAAAGGGACTAGGATCGAGTTGTGGGTTTCACGCTTGGTTGAAGCCATCCTAGTCGACCGGCGTCCGCTCCACACATAGGAGATCAGCGCCCTAGGGACGAACGACGTTCGGGTTCGCTTGGCGTTAACCAAGCATTTTCTATACTGCAGCGAGATGAGCAAACGCCCTCGGCTGATCTACCTCTGCGAATGCATTTAAAAGCTTTCGCATGTGGGTCAGTAGCTCGGTAGGGATACGCCCCTAAGGGTGGTGACAACCCCTTAGGGAAACAAGTTTATGCCCCGCGGGAACCTATCCTGTCATAGGGGACCGCGGGATGTATAGCTGGCTCACCCGCCTAGAGCGGCGAAGGGACGACGCAACCACGTCCATCTCGACGGTTCGCGGGATACTTAGCGTCGTTCCCGAGTTATCTCTCGATCTTGATGTTTTTTTTGTTTTACTCCTGCATGACATAGCCTGGAGGACCCTCGTTTCGCGCGAGGGTCGATGCGCTCGACAGCGGGAACTGGCAAAACATTCTACTTCAATACGATCCTTGCATATCTTCGCAATCAAAATCATGTTGTATTAGTTGTCGCTTCTAGTGACATTGCTGCCACACTACTTGATGGTGGCCGCACATTCCACTCTCGCTTCAAAGCTTCTCTCGATCCAACCGGAACTGCCAGACTCGATATCTCCAAACAATCAACACTCGCAGATCTCATTCGAATGGTCGTTGTTATTGTTTGGGATAAAGCGCCAATGATACATAAATTTCATGTCGAAGCCCTTGACCGAACACTTTGCTCTTCTCAATCCCCTTTTGGCAACAAAACAATCGTGCTCGCCGGTGATTTCAGTCAAATTCTGCCCGTTATTACTAAAGGGACACGTGCAGAAACGGTCAACGCATGCATCAAATCGTTTGTCCTCTGGCAACACTTCGAAACAATGCGACTGTTCGAAAATATGCGCGTCCTCACTCAAATGAATACGCCCAAAGGCCACCGATATGCCGAATGGCTTCTCAAACTCGGCAATGGCAAACTCGAACCACCACCAAATACACAACCCACAACTGTACAACTCCCTGCGCACCTCTGCTCAGCTGAAGGCACTCACACACTAATTGCTTGGACATTTCCGCATCTCCAAACAAACAGTCAGAATCCACATTGGCGGGCCGAATGCCTAATCCTCTCACCCACAAATAAATCTGCATCAGCCTTCAATTCTATCATTCTCGACCAATTTCCGGGTCCCTTCATCACATTACTCAGCTTTGATTCTTTGCTTCTCAATGAACAATATCCAGATGTCTCCGCAGATGCTCTGAATACAATTGACATCCCGTCGCTGCCCTTGCATATACTACAGATAAAAAAAAAGAGCCCCTGTTATCCTCTTACGCAACATTGTCATGAGGAATGGTTTGTGCAACGGCACACGTCTCATGGTCGACTCTATTACAAATAACATACTGCTCCATGCACGTATCCTCCCATTACTTCAACCAATCCTCCTTCCGCGTATACTCCTCACTGTGACAGACCAAACCAGCCCGTTCCCTTGGCAACGTCGACATCCCCATTCGACCGACGTTCACAATCACCATAAACAAATCACAAGGCCAAACAATCAAACATGCAGGCATCAACCTCGAACAACCACCATTTGCACACGGTCAATTGTACGTTGTTGCGTCGAGGGTTGGCGACCCTGCACATATTCGTTTTGCAATCCTTGCAGCTAACAATTAAACAACAAATATTGTTTACAAAGAAATCTTGACATGACACACACAACTAACCACATTTCTTACTGTCTACTTTCTCTCCCGTCTCATGCAGCTCATACTGAACATATGCTCACTATTTCATCCACAACCACTAAAACACCTGCCACCGCTATTCCGTCCTCTACCACCACCTCCACTCCAACACATATTGTATACAAAAAAAATTCTGCTGTGAACTTTGTCAAATCCTGTCATGAACTTGACCACCACTCTAGTTCCTTCTAACCGCCCTCACGGTTCTTTTTTTTTCTTGCAGGTTCTCCAGAAAATTCGCCAAAAGACAAAAAGTTGAGGACCTCACCGTCAACCACTACTGCGGACATTCAGGTTCGTATTACTTCATTAATCGACACTCTGACTTCAATCGGTGCATCTGCTGGGCTCGATGACATCACACTCACCCAAATCTCTCTCCCGTCCTCATGCCCTTCCACATCGCAAATGACTACTTCCACCGCCAGAACCTCCACACCGGTTAGATGGGATGCTTGGTTGCCTCTCATTAGTAAAGATAATATCGAACACATTATTGAGCAGCTTCTCTGGAAAGACTTCCTCATGACTGACCACGCGGCTTTCTCCCCCCACATATATGAATTCTTTTCGACTTACAAAGATAACCGCACCCGTTCTCTCCGACGTCCAGATCCTTCGCCCGATCCCAACACTCATTACGCACAAATCATAACTTTCTTACTGAAAATAATCAACGACGACTACAATCGAATACCTTTCCTCCGGACACCACGACCCCAATACCAGTACGAACGCATTATCACTGCCCACTATAAACAATCCTTCATTCGCTCAACACCACCGCCACAACAACCCATCCTCCGCCCTCATGATGTGTATCAACCCGGCCCGCCCTGGTGGCTTCCACTCGAACCTTGGGGCGTCACACGTGCAACAACTCTCATCCATGATACCCTTGTCTCCCGTCACACGTTGGCCATCTATAATATTCCTCACATACCACGCACCTGGGATTACCTTGACAACCTCATTCTCCTTTACCATCATAACATGCAACAACCGCTCCCGCCCTTCTCTACATACAGAGTCGACATTGTCCACCGGGCTGTTGCATACCTCCGCGCCCTTAATCCCAGACCGCCACGCTAGAACCTTTACAACTTCCTGCAACAAATTTTGACCCTCTTCCGAACACAGACAAAACATGGGCAAAACACGGCAGACAGACAGAAATGGTGGACAAAACTACATACGACGAAGGAAATGCAGCCGCCAACACACCGACAACAAATGACCAAGACCGGCCACGACTACATACAAGAGAAAGAGAAAGAGAGAGAGCGGCAGGAAGAGACAGAGAGAGAGAGAGAGAGAGAGAGAGAGAGAGAGAGAGAGAGAGAGAGAGAGAGAGAGAGAGAGAGAGAGAGAGAGAGAGAGAGAGANGAGAGAGAGAGAGAGAGAGAGAGAGAGAGAGAGAGAGAGAGAGAGAGAGAGAGAGAGAGAGAGAGATTGCTGCCAAAGACAGACAGCAGAGGCAGAAAGAAAGAGGCAAAGAGAGACAGAGAGCGTTCAAGGCCGAGTCAAAAGGAGCGGTTATTCTCTCGCAGCGTCAATAAAGAGAGAGAGAGACACACATAAACACAGGTACAGAAAGACAGAGAGAGAGACAGAGAGAGATCACAGAAGAATTTGATTGCCGCCGAAAAGAAACAGCAGAGACAGAGAAACGCAGAGAGAGAAACAAAGAGAGAGACAAAGAGAGTGTTCAAGGGCAAGACAGATTGAAAGGGGGTATTCTCCAAATACCCCTGTACGTTGAAACGTATCTCAAAATATCCCTTTACAAATATAAGCCCAGCGGAATGACCTTTCCAACTGCCATGTTTGTGTTATGCCCCTGTCCCGTGAATGTGTAAATTCACTATTGGCTAGCCTGTTTCACAATATGTCTTTCTCATCGTCCTTCGTTGCGGCAGGTCCACTTGTAATAATAATAATAATAATAATAATAATAATAATAATAATAATAATAATAGTAATAATAATAATAATAATAATAATACCGGGCCGCCCGGGCAGCAAAACCTTGCCCGGGACCTGCCCGGCCCGCCCGGTCGAGCGACCGGACTGGTCGGAACCCCGGGCCACCCCGCGCGTACTTGGGTTAAAGCCTAAATCGGGGTCCCATAGGGACGAGGTGACGGGGATGGTTCCCGATTGTAACCCTCCATCGAAAAGAAAAATCGGGCTCCAGCAGACCCAATTTTTTTGGCCTTTGTAATATCGGCCGTTGATCAGCTCCGATCAACGACCGATTTGGAATCGCGGTCTGGGTTCGAATTCGAATTTAAATTCGAATTCGAATTTGAATTCGAATTCGAACCCACGCAGCCCGCGCCGACGCACCCCCGAGCTGGCCTGGAGCATTGTTCCCCCCCTCGTCGCTGTTGTCGGCTCCACCGTCATCTCCATCGTCACCCCGTCGCCGTCGCCGTCACCGTCGCCATTGTGTCCACATGCTACCCCGGAGCTGCTGCCACCGTCGTCTTCGTCGTCGTCGCCAACCATCACAGGAGGTACGTGCGCACCATCACCTCCTTCATGCCTCCTCCTCTTCCTCCTCCTCTTCCTCCCCTTCCTCGTCTCCCTCCTCTTCGTCATCGTCCAACTCCTCCTCCATCGCCTCCTCCATCGCCTCCTCCTCCTCCTCCTCTTCCTCCTCCTCGTCCTCGTCCTTCTCCTCCTCCATAGCCTCCTCCTCCACCTCCTCTACCTCCACGCTGTCCTCCACGTCTTCCTCCTCGTCTTCCTCCTCCTCCTCTTCTTCCTCCTCTTCGTTGTCCTCCCCATCCTCCTCCTTCTGCTATTCCTCCATAGCCTCCTTCATCTCCTCCTAGTCTTCCTCCTTCTCCTCTTCTTCCTCCTCTTCGTCCTCCTCCTCGTCCTCCTCCTTCTGCTATTCCTTCATAGCCTCCTTCATCTCCTCCTAGCCTTCCTCCATGGCGTCTTTCTTCTCGTCTTCGTCCTCGTCTTCCTCTTCTTTCCCCCTCCTCTTCGTCCTCGTCTTCGTTGTCATCTTCATCCTCGTCTTCCTCCTGCTCCTCCTCCATAGCTTCCTCCTCCTCCTCTACGTCCTCCTCTTCCTCTTTGTCTTTATCCTCCTCCTCGTCGTCCTTCTCCAACATAGCCTCCTCCTCTTGTAGCTCCTCGTCTTCCTCCTCGTCCACTACCTGCTCATCTTCCCTCTCCTCCTCATCCTCGTCTTCGTGTTTCCCCATCGCCTACTCTTCCTCCTCTTCCTCCTCTTCCTCCTCTTCGTCCTCTTCGTCCTCTTCCTATCATCCTTGTATTCCTCCTCCTCTTCCTCCTCCTCCTCTTCCTCCTCCTCCTCCTCCTCCTCCTCCTCGACGTCCTCTTTTTCCATCACCTCCTCTTCCCCCTCGTAGTATTCGTCTTTCTGTATCGCCTCCTTTTCCTCCTCTTCGTCCTCGTCTTCCTCCTCGTCTTCATCTTCCCCCATCTCCTCCTCGTCCTCGTCTTCCTCTTTATCCATCGCCTTGTCTTCCCCCTCCTCGTCTTCGTTTTCCTCGTCGTCTTCCTGCCCTCCTTTCTCCTTGTCCTCCTCGTCCATCGCTTCCTCCTCTTCCTTGTCATCTTCCTCCTTTCATTCGTTTTCGTACTCAACCTCCTCTGCCGCGTGTCTCCACGTCGGCCCCCTTTTTTTTTTTTTTTTTTAATTTCTTTTGCTAGTTTCAAATGTTGTTCTGTGCTTTGCTTGTCTTCGAAACTGGAGTTGCATTTTTGCTATTCGGTTCGAACTTCGCGGTCGTGAGTGTGTTGTTGTAGGTTTCCTTGTAGTTGCGTTTCTGCTATGTCGTTCGACTTTTATATCTGCTCGTTTCCACCGTCAATCAATCAATCAATCAATCATTGTCAATCAATCAATAAATCCATGAAATGTAACAGTCATAGGCCATCGACGCGTGCATATGGACGAACCTTTTCGTCCAAGATCCGTCGTTTAACGACAGATATTGAACGAAAAAATCGGTCGACCGGGTGACCCGGGCGGACCCGGGCGGCCCGCTCGGGCTGGGTCGCCCGGTCGGGCGACTTACGTACCCTAAATATTAATAATAATAATAATAATTCCAAGATCCGTCGTTTAACGACAGATATTGAACGAAAAAATCGGTCGACCGGGTGACCCGGGCGGACCCGGGCGGCCCGCTCGGGCTGGGTCGCCCGGTCGGGCGACTTACGTACCCTAAATATTAATAATAATAATAATAATAATAATAATAATAATAATAATAACGCTCTCTCATCGAGTGGATCACCTTGCCCAGGATCAAAACCAACAATGTTGATCAAGATGTTATGAAACTGTCATGTACTTTCAGAGCAGTTCGTGAACCACTGAAGGTTGATTGTCAAAACGAATGTTGGTCTGTTAATTAATTGACCACCAGGTTTGAGGCCGATTGACCAGGAGTCTCTAACAGTGTCTTGCACAGTCAAGTATCGACAAGAAGTTCAGCATCAATTACAGATCGATTAGCGTCAGAAAGAAGAGAATGCTTCCGAACCTCTAAACGAGATAACTGGACTTTATTGGCGCTCTGCACTGGTATAATCATTGGTCTTCAAAGGTGAGTGAGTGTTGATTGAGACTGCAGATAACGATGAGTAGGACGAGATGGAGACTGATAAGGACGATACTTTTGACAGAAGTATGAGACATACGGTCAAGCCAAGCTTGGAGGGGCCACCAGGTGTTACCAGGTAAGGTGTGACCTCGTACCACTGCTCCCGCATAATCTTGCGGCCCTCCCCTTTTGAGTCGTCAACTCCCACTCTCTAAGAGACCCCGCTTGGGTGAAGTGAAATGCACAAGGGTCTTGCACAACATCAGCCACCCACACCACGAGATTCTGAGCCGAGTATTCTACCTCGTGCTCAAAAGCTCCGACCTTCAGGCACCTCGGGTTCTGTTCTTGCTGCCCAATGGAAACTCTTATGTGCAGGGCATGTGTCGGTTCATTGTACCCTTCCTCCTCTTTCTCTTTCTCTCGAGGATAGGGTACTTCACATTAAGCTGACACGTAATTGATGTGGTCTCGTTTCAGCACACTAGGAATAATAGTATCTCAGAAAATCATGTGTAACACACATCAAATGGCAGAGAGAACAATTATTAACCTCTCATAAGTCGATTCTCCCCCTTTCTTTTCGGATGTAATGAGAAAGCACTGTCAAGCTTAGACAAACTCTTGAATCCATCACGAGGTACTGTGAATCCAAGTTACACCCATACTTGGCATGTGTGATGATACAGATTCGGTGCCCAATAGACGCATTTACATTGTTCAAAGGAAACCTTCCTATTTATACCGTGATAGTACAAGCACCATCTCACCTATAGGTGAGGCAATGTTCGGCGTTACCGAGATCTACTTATAGTATTTGTCACATTCAGGAAAGCTGAGATGAGCCGGTAGCAAAATGGATCTTACAAGTACACGTGACCGTGACTATGCCAAGCAACACAACTAAGGACTAAATTCTTTTAATCACCGTCCAACAGGTACTTTGCTAGGAGGCAGGCAATCATGCACGATGCAGATAATCTCCTACCCATCAAAAGTGATAACAGGAAGGTAACGAGAAGTCGGGGAAAAACACAAGTAAAACAGGTCTCGCTTTCCTAACCAATTCGTCCAGTTCCTTTGGGTCCGTCACCTTTTACTTCTCACCACGTACCTGCGGTGCGGGTCAGTCCGTTCATATTTAACAATTGTCCTTAAATGACTCAGCCCTAGTCTCGCGAGTACCACTTTTCCAGTTATAAATAGTTCGAGCCAAGAACAACAATCGAATAAGTTTGATAAACTCATGCTTCGATGACAGATCCACAGAGGAATAAAGAGAATGCATGGGGTAGGCTCAATTTGTATTTGAGTGACACACGATGGTCGAGGAAAACGCAGATCACAGTAATTGGGATCAACTTAGCCCGATCGGGCAACTTCCTAGTCCTCTAGTCACCGCAGACACTTACCTGTGCTACAAGATCACAAGTGAGATGACCTCAAACTGGTCGTACTAGATTGAGGTCAATGCAAAATATGAACAGTTTCAATCGTTATCACCTGTCACCCCGCTTGAAAACCAAACTTATGTGAGTTCTTGGATTTGTTACACATGCTAAACCCCTCCTTCTCTCACACGTATTGGTAGTAACCGACTCTGCTGCATTTACATCCTCTATTCACAAAAGCTCGTTGGAATTGCGAAGGGCTTCTGGTTGAAGGTCTACGCGCTGAGGCTCTGCTGAATACCCCTTACTACCCACCATTACAACTAAACTGGACAGAGAGATTTGGGTCGGGAGTTGAACCTTATCACTTCTAGTGGCGGTAAGCCTCTTTAGATAATTGACTCGCGTTCATGTTGTCTTGACGAAGGTGAGGTCATGGACGATGAGCATTGCTGGTTCTCGCCAGGATATCGACGATGTCAATAGGAGCGCCTCTCCTCTTCCCTACATAAGTGTATCTTAACACTGCACACTGAGACTCTCTCGTGACATAACCCCTATCTGTGTGTCCGAAATTGGATTTAACGCGGATTTCGAGTTGAAAAATTGAACGCGCGTTGAATTCGCGTTAAACTCTCATTCAAACGTGAGTTGGATGGGAATTAACGAGGTCCGGGATGATTTTTTTCCTGGGCGAAAAATTATCCAAAACAAAAACAAAAAATATGGGGTTGTAGGTTTTATTGAGGACTACAACCTTGTATTTTTATTTTTATTTTTTGATGCTTAAATCTATTTTTAAAAAATCAAAAACATAAACACACAATAAAAAAATAAAAACTAAAATGAAATTAGTGTTTTTGTTTAGGGTTTCACACAGATTTTTTAAGGGCTAAAACGAAAACAAAAAAAACAAATAAAAAATATAGGGTTGTAAAAAGCAAATTAAAAAAAGGAAAAAAAGACACACACACACACAAAATTGGGCCTGTAGCAGGTTGCATGAGTCTTGCGTCAGTTGGTTGAGGAAACCCAGGTCCTGGGCCGCCTGTGTGAATGTATGGAAAGCAGGTCCTGGGCTGGATACGGGTACTAGGCCAAACACAGGCCAAAGGCAGCTGGGGGCATGCAACCACCTCAGGCCCAAGGCCTGTTCTCGTTCGTGCTGTGCCTCAGGTTACCGGGGCCTACTGGAAGCTTCCTGGGACTGAACACAGGCAGGCCACTTCGATATAGCAAAGGGCCTGCCTCCACATTGGGCGTTCGGGTGCTGGCTGCATGCTGCGTAAGCGCTGCCGAGTTGTAGCTCGTGCCACTCACGCGCTCACGGGCGAGCAGGAAGGAGCAGGCAGCCATAGCCGAGCTGCGCTGCTGTAAGCTAGGTGTGGCGCAAGGTGATCCTTGGGTGCAAGTGGAATCTGTGTGTTGGGGAACGAGGTTGTGCGTAAGGCGAGACACACTCTCACGCGCAGGCACAGACACTTACACTTACACACACACACACACTTACAAACACACACATACACACACACACTTACAAACACACACATACACACACACACTTACAAACACACACATACACAAACACACACATATACATACACACACACACACTTACAAACACACACATACACTTACAAGCATAAACACACGCACACACATTTACAAACACACACATACATAAACACATGCGCATACATTCATATTCATGCACAAACACACTCTCACGGCAGACACACACATACACAGATACGTGCACACACAACACACCTACACACACATAACTGGGGCGTCGGGGGTTGGGGGATGTGGGGGCGGATGGGAGGTGCTTCAGGGGTTGGGGGGATTTTTTTAATTTTTTTTTTAATTTTTTTTTTTAATTTTTTTTTTTTTTTTTTTTTTTTTTTTTTTTGC